TTCCATTGCCCTTAAGAAGCCCTAAGCCATGCCTCAGCGCATTCGTTTGTTTTCAAACCTTGACAATCTTAATCCAATGAGAGGAGCATTAAACACACCCCCCCCCCCCAAAAAAAAAGGGGTGGGGGAAGGGGTGTATGCTTAACCCAGTGTTTCATTTGCCATTGTTTAGCTTGATACCATGAAGAAAAGCACAGTATTTTTTTTGGTTTAAAAAAAAAACCCAAAACAAACAAAAAAACCCCCCAAAAAACCAAACTGAAACCTTATAGGGGATCCAGGTCTGCTATTTAGCTCCTCCTAGGTATACAGATCCCCTCAGTCATCCGAATATTACAATAAGAGAACTGAAATCCAGTAGTTTGGTATTATATTTGAAATGAAACATGATGTCTACATTAAAGAAGAAGAGAAACAGCCCAATAACTTGCTGGATTAGGACATTCTCCTCCCTAATTTGCAATAAATACTGCATGACTGTCTTGTGACAACATGACTTCTTACATAGTCTAAACCAGTCATTCACCAAGGTCCTAAATTAGTGAAACATTTCAACACTTCTTTAAACTTGAAGCATATGAGTAACCCCATTGCTGGGGACTGGGTACGTGATAAAAAGTTTCCCAAACAAAATCTTTTACGTTTATGTATATACAACGTATTTTAAATTTAGGATTACTGGTCTAGTTTGAAACTCCCAGGCGTCAGCAGTCCTAAAACAGTGTGGTAAAAAAGATTCCACCCTAATGCTACCCACATGTCAAGTTTTATATGCAGTTAACATCACTAGCATGTTCCTTCCTGTTACATTTAAGTACACAAGTAATCACTTGGTAATTCTCAGAGATGTGTACACCAAAAATGCTGTAATCTATTGTTTGGGTACCTGTCATGTCGTACGATGGGTGTAGGCAGGACACAGGTCAGGAGCCATCCAAACTCAGCCAGCGTGTGCAATAAAGGTCCATAATCTGTTTTAATTTCACACCCCTACATTAATAATTATAAAAAGTAGTAAAGAGACTCTGTACAGGTTTTATTTGCATTTCTACACATAAATTACAATGACTCTCCTCTCATCTATAATGAGACAATCCTTTGAGATGACATCGTACTGTGTTGTTTGGTGGAGATTCGCTATTTCAAACTGAAAACAATTTGAAAAGTTCAAGACTACAGAAGACTAGGAAAATAGAGCTTATTAACTTTAAGTATGAGCCCTGATTCAGCAAGACATTCAAAGCACATCTCACTTGTTAAACTCGTCATGTTGCTAAATTAATGCCTAAAACTTTTTAAACACATCAAATGAGGCGCATATTCTGGTGTTTAGGTTTTTACTTCACATCTGAATAACAAGTATCTCACCTAGCTATATACTTAGGTTTTTGGGGTTTGGTAGTTGTTTTTTGTTTTGTTTGTTTGTTTTTAAATATACAAGGTCTTAGTCTTATGCTTCTTCTTTTCACATCGGTAAATGTATTTATCATTGAATATTTCAAAAGTAAGCCCTCAATATCCTCCAACAACAATTACTTTCAGGTGTCATTAATTCATGCCAATAATCTTATAATATTAAAATACTAAAAAACATTAAATAATTTTATTGCTGTACCATGCTACAGCTGCACATGTAAATTTCTGAGGAAAAAATGAAGTCTTAAATATTTAACAGTAAAATTTTACTACGAATATACATCTGAAAACCATGCTTGATTCACTCGCTATCATTTTTATCTTGTTCTGTTTCTAGTTTTTGCTATTTTGTTACTCTTTTTATTTAAAAATACTTCAGCACACTGTCAGCGGAGCTGCACTTGCTGAAATTACATCTAAACGGGTCTGAAACACATACATTCGAAAAAGAGATTTTCTTCAGTGTTTGTATTTGTTGGTATGAACATTTGTAAACGTCAGGTCAGAATCCCTGCGGCATATTTCTTTTATGCACACTGACCAACGGCCACAGGCCTGACTTCATTTTTATGACTCAAGGCTTTAGTTTAGCTTATGCAGGTGGCTTCAAGAAACCATCCTGAATGTTTATCAAACACTGGTACAAGCATTCTAAGGAAAAAACAAAAGTAGAAGTAGGAAATTGCGTTGCTAAATAATCACCAATTTACCTCAATGACTGTCCATTGTTCAACAACTATTGCATCATTTCCTTTCCTGTTAGAACCTGGAACCCCAGCACCTTCTTCTTCGTAGATAAACAATCCTTCTAAAGATTTGGGCAAATGGTCCCCTGTGAACATAAAGACAAATATAAACTGAAATATAAAGTTTTAGGTTGATATCTTACTGAGATGTACACATGGGCTTGTTTTTTCTCATTGAACAGTCCTCTAAAATAAAATGAACCGAGACAGCAAATAACTCAAATTTGTGGTTATTCCTGCATCTAGTTACAACTTGATGAAGTATGCAAGTCAACTTATCATTCAAAACCCTTTTTCTACGCAAATTGAACTATGAACCATTTCATTGTCTCAAAAGCATTAGCCACTTCCATGCTTGAATCGAATTCCAGTTTGCTGTGTTCAACGTATCCCCCGCAGCAGATGGGCACAAACCCTCTTTATTCAACTTCAGTATTGTATGCCTGACAATAAACGTGGCTTTTGGTGTGGTGGGAGAGACCATAAAGATAAATGAAGCATGAAGTGCAAAGCCTAGCTACTGTTACTTAAATAAATACGTAAACGGCCACAGGAAGAGCTTGAAACAGAAGTAATTGTAGGAAGATTCCTGATGGGAAGGAAGTTTCGGAGCACAACTCCCTGACTCACTCGTCGAAGCCTGACAGTATCCGGTTGGCCCAAACTAAAGCTTTGCATCAAATATTGGTCCATTTTCTGGTTTTGCTTCTCCTAAGAGCCATCGAGAAGCCTTTTATGCAAATGTACCTTGACAGCTGACTATCTTAAACTTTTTAAACTCAATTTGAACAGTAAAATTATGTAATCCTCAGAATACCAGATTTAAATCTTCTCCAATATTGCACAAAGAGATGTAAAGAGATGATTGGTTTTGCCACAGCTTCAGGGAAGGCAAATAAACTTAAAAGAAAAAAAACACCTAGCAAACAGAGAAAACTTACGGAACGCAACTGGTCTAGTTTTAAAAATTGACCAGACTGGCACAGAAGTTGTACTATGTAAACCAGGAATTCCCGTTTGTTGAGCATGCTTGTTAATGTACCATAAAATACCAACTATTTATTCATACTATTTTTTACTATATTGCATGTAGCAGATTTATGTAGTTTGAGTTATGATTATGTAGCTACTTGCATGCATATATATCTCTTCCATGCATTTGTAGAGGTATTAGACATATTTTATTTTTAGATTACACATAAATATAATGTGATTGTACATGCAACTGAATATATGGCTTCAGGCACAAATGTATGAATATGTGCACAACTCCTAATAATTCATAAATAATCTTATAAATTCATGGACTTCAACCTTTCTTCAGTGTTCAGGCAGATACTTAAAATGGGCAATCCACTTACAACATGTTAGAATATTTTGTTTTTCTATCATGGTTCAAACATGATAGAATAACTCTAAGTTTTAAACAGTTATTGACACAAGACACCTCCAGTCAGTAGTAATTTGCAACAAACTGTTAATTCAGAAAGTGCATCATGTCAAAATCACCTCTATTAAAAAAACTACACATGCAGCTAACTGGTACACCTGCCCATTCTGTTGATTACAATAGTTAAGCTTTGTTAATATCAGTACTCAAAAAAAAAGTGCTGCATGACAGATAACAAAAAACAAAAAAAGCAAAAATACTGCCACAGCACTTCTACTAATCTTAGGTACTTCTACGATCATGAGAGCCTCCAAGGCAGCTGCAAATGGAGGAAACACAACAATCATCCAAATGGCTGCTAAAAGAGAACTTTCCTGGATTATTTTTATGACTGCATCCTCTTTTGGCAGCAGAACACAGAAGCTGGTAATTATTAAGAATTGACAATGATTTTTTATTTTTATTTTTTATGTTAAAACTTCCTCCTGCCTTAAATTGGGTATTGCATTTTGATCCTGGTAGCAGCAGAATTCTGCTGACTCTGCAGAATATCTGTAGAGTCCAAACCAGAGAAGGATTTCTGCAGCTGCCTGACTTGTATCCGGTGTTTTTATTTTTTATTGAAACAATAGCTAAAATTTGCTCATTTCACTAAAGCTGTATAAAAGGACAACTACTGCTAAAGACACCTCACAGTCTAAAAGCAAACAAACAAAAGTGAGGTGAAGATGACAATTAGATGTACCTGCAGACATAGAAGAAGTAATTCTAGTAATGAGTGCAAGTGCTTAAATACTTTTTCACCCCAAAAAAGCATTTTAGGTTTCCCTCTGTTGGATGCCAAACTTTTATCTGGTTATAAAACTCTTCAATGTTCACCTCAAGAAGAAACATTTTAGCTGAAGAACTTAGTAGCTAAATTAATTTCTTACTGTGGTTACAGACACTCGATCAGCTGCAGAATTCCATCCACATAGTGAGCTGTGCCTTTGACTATATCCAGTTTAATTCAGCAGCGTCCCACCCGTGAGTCTAACTGAAACACATACCAGTCAAGTGGGGCTTGAAGCAGAAGCACCAACTGCTGCAAAGAGGCAGCATGAAATCCCTAACTAAGTCATAACCTGGGTATTAAAGATGGGATAGTTATTCACATAGAGAAGAGCAGACAGCTACAGGGGAATGGGAAGACTGTAAACTAGTGTTGGACAACAGCTGCAAAGATTAATTTCAACAGCTGCCAAAAACACCCCTCAGTGAATTGTAACATATCTCCAGAGAGTTATTTTCCAGCTCTAAAAAAATCTGTACTGAAAACCAGGAATCTGATTTCTCACCTCTCCTCCCCCAAAGGAAACTTTGTTCTTCCACTGACTTCAATAGATAGGAATTATAATTTAAGGGCAAGAAAGATGACCAGTACAAACTGTGCCATTAGATTGTTTGTGCGCACAAAATATGCAGTTTGGAAGGGACTAGCTGCCAGATTCAACTGAGGTAAATATAGTGATGTTGATGCACTTGTGTTCTTCTGACACTCACTAAATTTACTTTATTGCAGAGCTACAGAAATGCAGTGATTCACACTCAAAACTACTGAGAACAACAAAAACTGAAGAGTTCTCATTGTTTGATTTTTGAAGAACCCACATCGTTTAACTTCCAAAGATTTTGTGTTTTAAACTTTGGGTTTTTTTTAAATTTAAGCCTTTCACTAATCTAAGCCTTGCAAAAGGGATGCTGAATGCATATTATTTTAAATTAGAGTATCAGGGAAAAAAGCATTAAATAAGACATATAGTAAATATAAAAACTACTCAAAACCCCAGTAATTCTACCCTCCTTGTATAATTCATGTAAGAAGCAGATGTAAAATGACTTATGAAAGCCACTTTAATACATTATTAAGTAAACTGCTGCACTTGATAATCAGCCTGAGTAGGGCAAAAAAATTGTTTAAGGTCTCTGAAACCTTTTCAACAAACTTTTTACAAGACTTTTCTCCGCCGCAGCCCTGTGTTTTGCTTGCTTACACTGAACTGCCATAAGCAATTCTAGAGGAACACCAACAGCTTAGAACTTAGTACAAGCAAGACACGAACAGATCCAACCAAAGACAAAGTATCACATTAGTGAAGTATAAATTCTGTCTGCTATCAAACAACATTTATTACAATAATTAATACATTCCAAAGTGATTAACTATGTCAGACTCTCTTGGCCTGTTCCCCTAACACTACAGTACTACCATTTTCTTCACATTATTTTCAAGTAATTGCACAACAGTAGCTACATACTATTTTTTGCAACACTTCTAATTTCTGGCTTTCAGACAAATTCAGTTCAAATGGAAATGAATCTCTTAATTACATATTTTACCAACAACAGAGTTTTAGAGTTCAAAATACTTCAGCCAATAAAGAGCTGCTCCTGTTGTCAGCAGTGGTACAGCACTGTCTCACAGCGCTGCCAAAGCGCAGGATTTTGGGCTCAGCAGGGTGTGCAGCGATGGGCCTGGGCCAGCAGCGGCACTGCTGACATTGGGCTTGTGTCTGTCATCAGGAGGATGAAGGCTAGGAACTCTGAAAGAGCTAGCAGGATCTCTCCAGAATAAAAACTGAGATCAAACCGAAACCAGCAGAATGAAGATGAAAATTTGAAAATCCTGTGGCCTGAAGCTCTGTCATTGAAACAATCTGAGTGTTAACTGAGCTGGTAGATTCCTGCAGAAGAGCGCAAGAAGCAGGAGGGACCAGGGAAGACCGCTCTCCCAGCTGCGTGAAAAGGTCCTGGAGGATCTGCCTACAGCTGAGGGCAAGGACAAAACCAGATTTCTCTACTCTCCGCATATGTCCACATCTGACCAGAACAACCTGCAGAAACATCCTGAAGCTTCAGGATCAACAATCGAATTTTAATGCAATTCGGTGTTTTGGAAAGACTTTTTAAGCCCAACAAAGAGCTGGAGAAAGCAGGAAGCACGGAAAGTCTGACTCAGGTTTAACAGTACAGTAAGCACAATGAGAACTCAAGGTGCTCTTTTGCCTCATGAGAAATATTCAACAGAGTGCAGCACAGTATCTACAGTGAGCAGGAGAATATGAACATCAGGGAAACGTGTATCTACTGATTTTCTTCCCAGTACCTTTTCCTTGAGAAAAACAAAACAAAGAAAAAAAAACTAGCGCAAAAGGTTTATTTCATTATAACACTACACTACTTCACTGCTTTGGAAATCCTCAATTTGATAAAACAAAGCAGAAATTTCAATTATTCAGAGCTATAACTGCCCAGAAAACAAATTATTCCCTTTGCAGGGATCAAATTCTGTAAATTTACAATGACTATCTGAACATGTTTACATATGGCCCTTCACACCAAAAAGCAAAATATGATCTACTTTTTGCAAATTATGTAGTTCTACATAAACAAGTAAAAGCTTCATGATATTCTGGGACGGTACTCACCTTTAGAAGTTTCCCAGTGTACAAAAGAATCAATTAAGGACAATCCTTGTTTATAATAAAATGTGGTTAATTCTAGCCAGTCTGCTTCCAGTGTACTAATAACCGGCCCCTTTCTTGTTACTTTCATAGACAAAACGCCTTCATGATAGGTCCAGCAGGTAGAATCGTCATCGAAAACATTGAAGACTGTATATAGCTTGTCTAAGAAAAGAAAAAGGAAGAAGAATGAAACTCTGGAAGACAGTGCTCCGAAATAAAGATATTATTAATCTCTTATTTCAACGTGGTTTTCTAATTCTAAGCAACAGTTTTAAGAATTGTTTCCTGATGTGACTGTACTCAGCTTGAGCCCTAAACACACTCAGGACGGACAAGGTGTGAGGGGGGTATGCTCTGGGATACGAGAAAAATTTGAACATATTACAGTTGGGTTGTCACTGGACCTTTTAGGTAGGTGAGTTTTGCATACAGAAAATATAGTAGAGCTAAGAAAAACCCTGTGGAAACAGGCTTCATTTTTGCTACTCATGGAACTTGTGACTATAAATATTTGAAATTACTGTAAGTGAAGACTAAAGACAATTTTCCAAATTTTTAAATATTAGGAATGCCTTGTACAGTGTTGATTTTTACCCATTGTTTTCTGAAGACTACTGAAGTACCGGTATAATTGGTGGCCTACTGGGGTTTCCCACACAATAACTGATGAATGCGTGAGTTAAGCACACAAAACCTGCATATCCTCAAATGCTTTTTATATCTAGGCATTAATACAGTGCTGTTACAAAACCAGTCATAAACAGGCATTCACCAAAAATTAAAATTCACAAATCCATACCATTTTAGGAAATCACTGGTGACAAGTTATGAAGTCCTAGATCTATAAATGTGTTCTACAAATACACTCACACGTATGTCACTGCTGTGGAGAGATAACACAAAGCAGTTGCCAAAAAATGCTCTCAGATTGTCTAATACTTCAACATTTGAGCAGCCTAAGTCAACACAAACCAGCTTTTCTAGAAAGCAGAAGTATTCACATTGCCAAAACAAAGGAACTTGGTTTAGATGGCCCCACTTAAGATGCTAGTCTCTCTAGGCTCCAGAAATAGAGGGAGATTTCCAAAGCAGGGTTTGAACTGTAAGTAGTCTGAGTCAGTCTCTGGGAGAACACCTCTCTGTTTTGAGAAGTGTTACTGCATCCGCTGCAAGTGACATCAGGTGCCTGGAACAAGGTAGAGTAAATGCAGGACAAAATTTTGAACTCTATCAGTAAGAGATGACTCTCCTTTCCATACAGTTTTATTTTACCACCTCCACAGGTGGTTGTATTAGCATAAACGTGTTCATCCTGACAAACCTTAATTTCCTTTCCCATACACTAAAGTGAGATCACTTTTATATTTGTTCTTCAGAAAAAAATAATCAAGTTTCCCGATACGACTATTTAATTGCTCATATGTATCAGAAATTTGCCTCTGCAAGTGGTGTATTTATAAGCAGTCAAAATTCATACATTATGATCCCCAAATCTAGAACTCAGACACAGTTTTGCATCTTCTGAGCAGACCTAAATAGAAATGACGTACTGAAGTGGCAGCACATACCTACATGCATGTAAGACTTTCTTTGAAAATTCACATCAGGTTTTTTTTTAAATGATGGTTACATAACCACCTTTCTTTGCAAATGTTGTAAGCTTTCGTAAGTTTTGTCTTAGGAACTCCAATAACTTTACTGAGTATTTGACTAGTAGTAGAGAAGCCTAAAGAAGGCATATTCTTGCCTAAAGCTTTTTGAAGAATTTCCTGAGAACACTGCATGTAGGGGATGCACTGGTTGCTAATCTACCTGATCACGCCAGTCTGTACAGAGCTCCTTAACAGAACCAAGAGTTTTCTGCTTTTTGCTTACAGGATTTCTATTCTGCTACATATAGCAAACCCACTATTTCAAGCTGTACGGAAAGAGTTAAGTTTAACAGATCATGCTATAAAGGCTCAGCATGTTGTACAAGAACTGCTTTAATTCAAGTGTTAAAAATAAGAGGGACATTGATTATCTCAGCCTTAGAGTCATTATCCTGACAGTCTACAAACTGGAGAGGGTGCTTAACTCTTAACAAGAAAGTGAAAAGGTTGCTTTTGAGAGCAATTAAAACATGTCTGGCCCATCAGGGAAGAACCTATTATGTCAAAATGCAATCTGACATGAAAGTTTCATACTGCCTGCTTTCTACACAATACTATCTTGCATTAGTTCTCATGGTTTAGATTACTTCTTCCTTCTCACCTTTTCTTCCCAACAAACCAGGAGGCCTCAGTGCTTCAGTATCAGAAGTCACTGTTTCAGGCAATCTCTCACACAGACTACACTAAGTATCTCAGATTCTTCTGCAACTAAGTTTTCTGCCACAGCACCAACATTTTTCAATAATACTTTTCCTTCCTATACAACTTTTTAATGCTTACTTTTCTCTAGTGTAAATTCATTTTGTAACAATTATCCTCTTTGATTTCATGGTCAATGCATTAAGTGATCTCTTTCAGGATGCTTCTTGAAGGCATGTTAACCAGAAAGAATCCATTATGAACGGATTTGTTTGCTGTACATTATGCGAGTTGGCTAGAAGCACGTAAAATTACAGCTCTAGCTGGAAGGGGATCACTTTGTTGTCAATTTTGAAACAGGCAGGAGAACTGGAATCATAACATATTCTTGGAAAACCATTACATGTTTATGATTTAATACTAAGAGTAAGTGAAAACTATATGCATTTACAAAAAGGTTTAAAACAATTGCATCCTTCTAAAAGAAAAGACTTTTACTGCCACATATTTGTTATACACGTACCAAGCAAAAAAGCTATCTGTTTGCACCACATTTAAAATCAGAATTACACTGTGGGTGATTTTTTGGGGTTTGTTCGTTTTTTTTCCTTTGTTTTTAAATTACAAACTAGATTTTTGATAATACATTTATAATATTCTATATAAGAACTGAAATATCATTTTAATATATTACCCCGGTTCACACATACGTAGAGCAGAAGGAAAATATTTCTTCCGTTTCCTCAGCTGGCAACTTCTTTAGAAATACGTATGCATGTAAGGAAGATGCATCTTCCAAAACCAGTGTTTGATACAATAGAACATGCTGTTCTGTTATTTTTTTTCCAACACCTTTTTAAAACAACAGCTCAATAAAATACCTTATTTCTGCAACAAACAAGCAGCATTTATTACCGTCTCCTTTTCGTGGTTTAACAGGGCTGGCTTCTTTTCCAAACTGGAAATCTGCATCCTGTAACAGACCGCTTTCTCCTTGCATTTCCTCCTCTATCCCACTCTCAGATGAGTGGCCACTCAATGTCCCTTCGTTCCAGTTTTTAAAGTTTTCATCAGAATTTCTTCTTCTCTGTTCCCTATTTCTTCTTCCCAGTGTTGATTCCAGCTCTGCACTTCCATCTGTGCTTGTTCCATTACAGGCTTTAGTTTGAGGAAAATGTTGCGTTACAAATCCCACAAATTTCTTTCCTCTTTTAGCAGCTTCATTAACCTGTATTTACAACAGAAATTTATCTGCAAAGTGATTTTAGAATTGCATGTAACTTTAAAAAAAAAACCAACCACTTCTATATACATGTTCTGTTTAACTAAACTGCTGATTTTCAAGGACATAAAGACACAATACTGTACTATAGGAGGGTGGCTTGTCTTTGTACAGTGCCCATGTTTCAAAGTAAATGGAAGTCTTCCAGCATGTCTTTGGACTCAGGCCAAATAAGATGGCCAACACCGGTACTGACTTTAGTGTATACAAAATCCTTCATTTAGAACAAATCCGAAGTATTTCACTTCCTGTGTCGTAGCGATAAGCAGTATACTGGTGCAATAAATAGTATTGTTTCTTTAAACATGTGATACCAGTCATACTAAAATTACTAACCACTAATACTATAGAAATATCTGTTTGTCACGTGTCACGATTCATTATCCCCTGGTTCCCTCTGAGGCTACTCAGCTTCACTATTACTGAGAATAGTGAAGGAGCAGAGAAAGGACGGAGCTAGAAGCAAATTAAAACCCTCTTAACTCTGCTTTCAGCCAGTGGTGGGTCTTTTTCTCTGCACTGAAGTCTCAAAATACAACTGTAGAATATGTGCCACCTGTGGGATGTGCCTGTTCTTGGAGGGAGGGTTTTGTTTTGCTGGGATAAAGAGTCCTGCCATTGAGGAAGGTGATCCCACCACCATCTTGTGCTACAAGCTCCCCTGTGCAATAGTCTTTCCAGGAAAATACAGAAACCCCAGCCCAGAAAGAAATCGCCTGGGAAGTACTGGATTAGTGAGGGCAGAGAGAGAAGGATGTCTACCCAGTTAACTCACAAAAACTATTTATCAAGAGAGTGAATAACACTCAAATAGCTGATGGTAATACAATCCCTTTTTAGTACTATCTACCACCATTATGTATGTACAGCAATGATATGATATGCCAATCCCTGTGATTATACAGAGCTGCTGCTTCTAAGACAACCAAAACAATTTTAAATGTGACAAGTAACATGCAGAAAAAGAGGTAATACGACAATCTTTCTCCTGAAATGCCACAAAGTCTTATGGGTTCAGATCTTTTTAAAAAAAAAGAAAAAAAAAGTAACTTTATGCTGGATTACTGGCTCAGTCTTTTTAATACACTGGGAGCATTTTAAAATCAAGTTATTTTCACTTACTACTTCTGTTCCAGATTTGCTTGCAAGACTGAAGCACTGCTAATTTCAGGTGTATTTTTCCTTTAAATGTTTGTCTGGTATGCTACACAACCAACCTGGCAATACGCGTATTAAATAAATGTGTAATGGAATTCCATTTTAAATTTGAAACACCTGAAAATTTCAAAACAAGCCATTTAGAAATTTTAAACAACTCTGTGATAATGTCAAAGATCATTAAAGAGCTCCAATGTGCTTTTTCCTCTACTTCTTTCCGTGGCAACTAATGTAAAAGATATCACTCTAACTCTTGTAATAACAATAGTTTCCTGTTTCAGCAAGTCTCCAATTTTGCAGAGGAAGTGAAACACAAAAAGAACTAGAACTAGAGCTTGCATTCCAGTGGAAGTTTAGTTTTATTTAACTATACAATATTTTCAAAAGCTGTGCCAAGTAAATATTTAATACAATTACTGTGTATTTTGTATTTCTGTTAAAGAATGAAAAAATCTCTTAGAAATGGAATATTTTCCTGTTCATTAGGAATACCTTACTTAACCCAGAACAACATGAAACTTCAGATTTTTTTTTTTTTAATATTAATTCCAGAAAAGCTATCATACAAGCATTTTATATAGACTGACTGAGAGTTTGGGCCTGATTCTGCTTTCAGTGGTGTAAGTGGCCAGTCTCCCAAAGCTTTACAGGGCTCAATACTAAGTCCTAAATTAGAAAAAGCAACTAGTGAAGAAAAATAACTCCTTTCACATCAAGAAAAGATTTTGTAGCTTCTATAAAATAAACCAAGGTTAAAACTCAAAACTAAAGAACATCAACCACTAAATATAACTTACATGTATGGTAGAAATAAAAATCTCAGGAGAAGTTTGAAAAAACCCTCCATTACCTTTTCTAACAGTTCTTTCACTACCTCATTTGTCAGTGTTTCATACATTAAAGGACATTCCTCAATCACCAGCCTGGGGTGCCTTTGTCCTCTGGGTGCTGCATGCTTCTGGCTAGAACACGGAAAGAAAGCAGTCTTTGTCAGTAGTTTGCTGCTAACTTGGGCAAATGCTTGCATATAGAATTCTTTTCTTTTGGAACAGTTATGAATGAAATCCTGGCAATGCTTCTTCATACTTTTATTTAGAACTCAGCAGGTTTTGGTATTTGTTCTGTTTCTTACACAAAGTGGCAGGTACTGTGTATTACAACATCAGGGTAAGAATATTAATATTTAACAGGAATTTCATCTGAAGACTGTTAATAGACATCTTTCGGAAACTGAGCTTTATTGACAAACAGCCCTGCTTTTGTAATAAACAAACAAACCCAAAAATCTCTGATAATGAAAAAAATACAAATTTAAGCTATAAATTTAGCAAGCACAAAACAGACTCAGTTTTGTAGAAAACACACTATGAATAGAAATGATACTTTGACACTGTTAACATGCTGCTGTTTAGTTTTTGTAACTAAAGCAGAGTTGCAGCTATTGTAGGAAATACAGGATAGGCAAATACTAAAAACACAATGCAGTAACAATTACTTTGGGTTAGGTAATGTTTAAATCACTCAGATCTGAGAATCCGACAAGCTTTTACTTCCATTTAAAGAACAGTATTCATCATGTTTTCTCTAAAGCCAGTTAGGTTATTACTCAGACAACAATATTTGGTGTATATCAATAATAGAATAGGGTTTTATTTCATGTTTCCTTCACACAATCTTTTGCTTTAGAATCAAACATCAATGAGACACATTCAAATATAACAGGTAACTTTCCAGATAGTAGTCAGAGAAGGTGTATTTGCCTATAGGAAAACCAACATAGGTACATATGCATAGGAAATGGGGAACCTACACCCAACAGTTTCACATGTAGGCTGCAGGGTCTCATCCTTCACCTAGTCAAGGGCCTAAAGGTTCAAACCACAACTTCATAAGGATCCCACATCTGCAGGGATAAGGTGAATTGTGTGAGCTGCGCGCTGGCCGCGTCAGCTCTTAGAAGCCTCAGCTCCAGAGAGCAAGTATTCTGCTTTTCTTACTTAAGCATTTGCCTGCAACGGACAACATTCACCTTGTTTGCAGATTAATTTATAAAGGTAAGTTGTATAAGCAGCAAATACCACAGAGAACGCTTGTTTAAGCAAAGCGTTTGAGAAGCTCCCTCAAATGAACCATGTTTTACAGAAGTATTACTGCAGTGGCAGGGGGTATCTTCCAACTCACGCCCCTCCGGTCTTCCAAAAGAAAATGAAAGAACCTTTGTGCATCGCACTAGGACTCAGGAGAGATGGGGAAGCATGACAGCTCTTAATGCAGTAAGAAATCCACTTTTCTAGTTATTCAAGATAAGAACAAAAGGTTATCTTCTTTGCATTCAAAGGAACTAATAGTAAGGGGTTTTTTGTATATTTTCTTTATGATCACATGGTGATTACAACGCAGTGAAAACAACAGTAATAAACAAGACTATGGAGCTGGAACATAAACACAAACTCTTGACTCTCCCTCAGTGTCAAAACCAAGCTTTTGTATGCCTCCCAATCACAGAATGATTATTTCCTTCTTATTAAGAAGGAAAAATAAACTATTTATCTCCGACAAACTAAGTAATTCACACTTTATAGGTCATTTTCCCCGAATAATGCTCTTATGGGAAAAGTGAAGACACAAAAGTTTTGAAAAAGAAGAAAAAACAGACATGAAAGAATTTAAAGCAGCTTGTTACTCTCCTAGTGTTTTGTTTAATCTTGTATTTGCTGCAGGTTCCATGACAGATGATACTTTATAATAAAGATGTAGTAAAAATAAAAGGGTAAACTAACAATTTATCTTCCCACAAATTATGATAAGCAACTTTGGATTTTTGTTTGGACATTTACTATGGCCAAGTAAACATTAGCCTATTGTGCGCTTAGAGTTAATTAAAAAAACATTACTAACTTGCTCACCTTTCTAGACAAGGAACAGTTAATTGGATTCTCTGAGGTGCTCATTTCAAGTTGATAACCAATTATGCATGTTGAGCAATCCACTTACAAATGGCTTAAGTAATGGACCAATACATTCAAATTCTTTCACTGTTACCTTAATTTTAATCGTGAAAGTACCACTCGATACATGTGACTTGCAGGGAAACTCCTTCTACGTCCAATTGGCAGTATAATAGGATGAACAGCTCCTACAACATATCCTTTGCTGTAATATTCTTCCACCTTAGATGCTATATCCAACACAGAACTGATCTTGATAACTTCTGGATTTGAGGAAGCTAAAAGCATTGAAAGCAGAAGAGAAGCACGTTATACTGTGTACGTCCATATACTTTTTGGGTGAGTTCCTTTTATATAAACCACACAAAATCTATCCCAAGCCATTTACTAAAGACAGTTCTATTTATATAAGAAAAAGCAGATTCGCAGCTGATTCAACAGTACTCAACTAGTTGAAGTACATATTTTTACAAGTTAATATGATCTATTTTTAATCTAGTTGGCAACACTTTCTGTTGGATCTAGCTTTGCCAAGCTAATTTAAGAGCTGCATCAACATCTAAACACACAATAGGTCTGAACTTAACAAAGCGACTATTTTGTCTAGCCAAAGCCTTAAACTTAGCGAAGCAGTATCCTTCAGCCCTAGTTGTGAGGTAAATTCCCGTACAATGAATTTAAGCCTAGAACAATTGGTTTGCTTTTCTTACATACTTTTTTTGGATCCCTTAGAAGTGACCTGTGGATTGTAGGCTGACATTTTAACATAGTCCCAATTCCTTTTTCCAGTAGACCTAAGTACATGTCACTTAAGCAAGCTATGTGGTGTCACTAATTTCTAAGAAGGATCCCTCTGAGTGAGTGCAAGCATTTCCAATCAATAGACAACAGCTAGGTACTACATAGCTATCGGGGGAAACTTGATAAAGGGAAAACTTTTTTGGAGAACCTTTTTTGAGTGGCTTGATCCACAGCTTTTGCACAGAGAAAAGGAAGATTTCACACCAATCTGGTAATAGATTATATATTCTGCCACAGTAAGTCCGATGGTCAGTATTTCCTGTTCCCCTCAACTCCAGCTGGAACTGTAGATGCTCTCAGAGCCTCCAAAGCAGGAAATCAATACTCATACACAGCAATTGAAGAGTAATTTTGCCAGCATATATTTGCCATCATCAAAATTTTCATCCTTTGCAGATATAAACTCTTACGACAAGACAGCTTGGCTTGGAATTTGGTAGTTTTTATTAATGACTCTTGCTACAAGTGACGCACTTTTCTGTGTTCTGATGGGTCCCCCTCTTTGCAAGGCTTTCAGTGCATTAAGATCAGTGTTCAACTGTATTAAAGGATGCCTCAGTTGGAATTAAGTGACCTCACAACACTTTGAGATACAAACATTTTAACATGCTGCTTTAAACATTCCCTTTCAAACCATACAATAAACTGAAAACAATTAAATACACTAATTCTCCTTGATTCTGTAATTTTAAAAAATGATATAAGAGAAAAAAGAACAGATAAATGCAATGACATAAATCTCACTTGCCGCTTTGTAAATGTATTCCTTAATTTCATGTTCTTACATTCTCTTATCTACCTGCCTTATATTGTAGGTGGGGAATAGCAAGGAAATTAAGGACTTTATCAAAAACACAGCAAGTCACAAAGTCTACCTATCCTACTGGTTTAAAGTATCATAAACCAGATATATGAATCTTTAGCTTGCCTAATCTTTTATTCTAATAAACTGAATTAGAATTCTGCTGGTTCATGAGTGGTGTTCTGTAAAACATCAATCTCCATACTGCTTGCCTACTATAAAATGGGGATAACACTGATTATAAATATACACACACATATTGTGGAGGGCTTTTTAAAAGAAAAAACAAAACAAAAACCACAAACCTGAAACTACTGTTTTGCAACACTCAAATGCTTTTAAATACCAACTTCTACTAAAGGGAAAAAGGAATGGAGGCCTACTTTGCTTGTCACTGTAAGAGCCTTAACAGCTCAGAAACACTATCAAGAGAAACCTGAATAATGTGTACCATGGGAAATGCACTCTATCAGAACATATCACTAACATATATATTGACAGTTTATTGCTGATAATTAGCAAACTCAACCTATTAATGTAAACTCTGCCATTCTCAGTCATAGGGACAGGGCTGTTGCACTTTTTTTTTTTTTAAGCAGACAGTACATCACAGCCCTCCCTTTCATAGATGGATATTTTGCCTTTAGTAACACCTCCACCCCATGATTCCACTCATAGTAAATCCAGGAGACATTAAATATATATTGAAGAAATACCTCTACAGCCCACAAGCCAAAAAAG